TAATATTAAATAATGTAACAAAAAAAATTAATATTATAAAAGAAATAATTAATTATTACATATTTTATATCATTTTAATAATTTTTAGTTTAAATAAATATTATACATTTATATTTAAGCTAACTCTTTTTATAAATCACTTACACAAAACAAACTCAAAACAAAAAAGATTATAATTTCTTGAACTACTAAGCAAACTTACTTTGGTACTCTAAGTAAACTTGTTCTGCTATTTATTTTACATATATTACAGAAGTTTCAAAATATCAACTTGCAAATTCATTAAATTAATTATATAAATCTTTTAAAAATAATTAAATTTACAAATTTGAAGTTTTTTTAAAATTATATTAAGCAATAAAGAACTCTCACTAATGATCACTTGTACCAACTTTTTACCAAAAGCAAGTAGAAGACTCAAGACCAGAAGTTAACAACAACTTGTAGTTTATTCAATACAAACTGTTGGTAACAAAGTTTCTAAATGTGATATACTGAAAAGTAGGCATTTTGGATGATTTGCAAAGGAGTTAAGCTCTTTCTTCTTTTAGATAAACTTTTTTTTGCATTTAGTATCCAAACCAAAAGAGTTTCTGGGAACAGTAAGTAAAAAATAAATTCAAGTTTGTTTGGAGACAGAATGTTATAAAGAATTCTTAGAATAATACTCTCTGGTTAAAAACTCACAAAACTATGATTATCTTTTTGCTATTTTCTTTTTTTCATAATTTTTGATAAAAAGTAGAGATTTGGCTTACTCTCTTCAAAAAATCAACATTGTTTACTATTTCTATTTTCAAAAAGTTATGAGTTTTGAAATAACAATTGGAGAACAAAACAAATCATGTATGAGGAAGAAGTTCTAATAGATATCTGGATTGAAAGGAGATAAATATCGCATATCTTATTTGAATCAGGCATGGCTATCAGGTAGCTCTCTATTTGGAATATATCAAGAAAGTAGCTTCTAAAGATGGTAATTGAAAGAATCAATCATGTTAATCTGAAATATAGAAGAGCATATTTGAAGTAAAAAACTATAAATGACAGAACTGTTCGTAATCAAGATCAGCTTAAAGTGAAAGAGATTTTAGAATCAATGATCATGCAATCGAGGTTTTAAAATCAGACATTCTAGAATTAGAAATGAATTTAATAGAGAGTTGTAAACTAGAGTGATAATGTAGAGATATATTTATTTTAAAGTTATATGTATATAATTTTTAGTTCTTGATACAGGTTAAAGTATATTTTAGTATATAGTTTTTTTTTCTTTTTGTTAAATAGCTCTATATATAGATTTCTATAACTATATAGATAGTTTTTACCTGGTTAGCAGATTTTATATTTGAATATAGATTCTTATAGATTTTAGAATAGTTTTTAGATTTCTTTATAATTTGGTCATTTTCTTTGTATATTTGTTTATATTTTACCTCTTTTTTGTAGTTCTTATACCTCTTTTTTTCTTTTTTACTTCTTTACAAAAAAGTATCATCAGATTGGTATACTCTATTGTAGGTCAGTGATTCTAACAAAGTCAATAAAAATTATCTGTTAATATCTGGGACACATATTCTCAGTAAGTTGAGAATCCTAGAAGAAAGAAAATTGTTCATTTAGATAGATCACTTCTAAGTTATACTCTAGTATAAAATTTAAGGTTTATTCTTTTTTCTACTATGATAATAAAACAGATCAAGAGAATTTTTATTTGAACAGGCCTGAAGTACTTAAGAATCAGATAGTTGATTTAGCCAACTAAATTTTTACTATAATATACTGCCAATTTATAAAATAAAAATAGGATCACTAAAGTAAAAAAAAAAAATTAAAATTAGATTAAGTCAACTACTTACATTTCTTAATAAAAATTTACTCAGCTTCTTAATATGAATATTTTGATATATAATATATTATAAATAAATTTTAACTTGTCAAATTACAACAAAAATTTTTTATTTCTTCTCTTGTTATTTATTCTAAATTATACTAAGTAAACTTTAGTTCTATTTAAGACAAATTTGGTTTACTTATCAAGATGAATATTTTGATATATAATATATTAAAAACAGACTAAAATTAATGATTTTATATCAAAAAAACTTCAAACTTCTTTGTCAAAAAACTTATGTTTTGTTCTAAAAATTTACTATTTATTAAAATTTTTTAGAATCTAACAAATTTGAAATTTTGTTTACCAAACTTGGGTCTTTTTAAAATTTCACTATATATATACTATACTCTTAACAAAAAATCCGCAATATCTCTATATTCTACTATACAAACCTTATTTAGTACTCTAAGTAAACTTATTTCTAAAACAAAATATACTTTATACTAAAACTTCAAGATAATATTCTTTAAATTCACTTAAAAATAAACCTATTTTCAATAAACTTCTTTTCTTATATAATTTATCTATACTCTACTAAGTAAACCTTACTTGTTATTCTAAGTAAACTTGATCTTGAAACTAAAATATACACAATATCAAATTTTAAAGGTAGATAGTTAGAGTTCTAAGATTCGAGTTCAGGTCGAACCAGGTTCGGGTTAAACCCGAACTAAACTTGAACTCGAACAAAGAATTTTGCAAATCTCAAACCTGAACTCAGACTCGAACATGAATTTTCGAACCCGAACCAAACTTGAATATGATTGTGAGTTCAGTTCGAGTTCGGTTCGAAGTTCGTGAACATGTTTGAGTTTGGGATATACTTTGAAATATGCTATTTACATATAGGATATATAGTATTTTATAGTATAATTGAGGGATAATATATAGCCTCAAGCACATAATTAAGGATCATCCAAAAGATCTAAAATCTTTAAAATATATATATAGGTAGTGATTTAACTATTTAATATTAATATATAGTATGCCAATATTTTTATTTAATCATAATTTTTTAAATCTAATTTTATATCTTAGTTCTATTTTATTAAAATAAGGAAACTTAAATCTTAAATAAATTATAAAGTATATAGAAGATAATTAGTCTTGAATTATTATGTCTATTTTCATAATTTCAGGATAGTAATATCTTGTGAATCAAGATCTTCATTACAGCACTTATATTAGAGTATTGTTATGACTAGGAAGAGACTTTATATTCTCACTCACAATTTAGTCAGGGTCATAAACATTAAAATAATGAAACTAAATATTTATTATCACTCACAAAGCACCAAAATAACTAATATTATAGCTATACAAATAAGTATCTTTTTAATAAATATACTCAGTACATTATAGTTTCCAAAATATTACTTGTTCAAACTCAAAAACCAAACAAAAAAACTCAAAAACTCCAATAAACTTACTAACCAATGTTTTATAACCCTCTATTTATATCTACTATTAGACTTTAATTAAACTATTATGCAAAATATAAAGTATGAGCTTATTCTAAAATAGCATAATGATTGACAAAATATAATAAAAACTAAACTATATTATAATATTACACAAAGTTTAATTGTTATTAGATTGTTTGTTAAATATATATATGTTGTAAAGATGTAAAATAGTACCATACTAACATATAATGAAATCGGATCATACTAACTATAAACAACCAACTAATACTATTAAATACTATTTTAATTCTGACCCAATAGTGAAAGGCTACGATAAAGACATGAAAAGACTTAGTTTGAGTAACTAGAGTCAGTTAGAGCTCTAGACTACATCATAGATAGTATAATATGGTATTACAGGATTTGGTTACTAATTCCTATCATAAAGACAGATTTTACTTATCAAGGAGAATTAACCTTGATAAGTGTTGGGTTCTACTGTAGAACCCAACACTTATCAAGATTGAACTCTAACTGGATCATAGGTTGGGGTTATCAGAGCTGTGTGCTGCCAGAACTATCATTTATTCAGAGCAAAATGACTTCGCTTATATACTTAATTTTACATAGTAATGAAATACTAAAGATTCTAACTACTGTTGGCCCTTCCCAAACCAATCCTGTCAAAATCGATAACCTGCTATAATTGGTTAAAAACTGATCCACCAATCTCATTTCTTAATTAATACCTAATAACCTGCTATTTCTGATATCCGATAGCCTTTTTATTTAAGTTGCTGATTTTTTAAATAAGGTCACAAAGATCAGCCAATCAAAATGCATCAAATGCACATATATGTGATTTTTAGATATAACGAGAAAAGTCTATAAACATATACCAATCATGTGAAATCGCATGTACCCTAAATGAAAATTAGTAATTGGTACGTGTTTACAATAAATTTGGATCATACATGCCTGTAGAACTACTCTATATACGTATAAATTAAAAATTTTTGTCTTGGGTATTTCAAATTGAGTAACTGCCTAATGCTAAATAATACTAACAAATTAAACTTTGCATTGCACAGTAATATAAGAAGTATAATAGTCATTATTGTATTGCAGCATGTAATGGAATATTTAATATTCCACCAGCCAAACAGATTAAAAATAGTCACTGTTATGAAAAATGCCAGGTAGTACTTTAGCTAGTAGTAAGTTACTTAGTTACTTTTATATCATTTGAACTTAATAATAAACCTTTATTAATACTGATCATTGCATGAAAAATTCTTTAAAAAAATAAAAAAAATAGATTCATAGCTTAGTAAAAGTACGGGTTGTGTAATATTCAAAAGTGTAATATTCAAAAGTGAAACCTGTAATAATGTTTTCATATACTTATTATAAAGAAATAAAAAAAAAAGTCATACCTGTTTTTATGATAAGTGGAATTATTAAGGTTTGAAAAAGAACTATTCTAATTTAGTTTGAATCTGTCTTTCAGCTTCTTCTTTTCGAACCTTTTCACGGATACAGGATTGTAGTTTGCGTAAGGACTTTATCATTATCCCACCATCATCAATCCTCTCATCAACAATCTTTAGAGCACTACGTAAAATATTCAACTACTCCTTTCTGGTTAAGGATGGTATTACAACTTCATCTTCTACTTGCTCTAATTTTGTGGTAGCCTAAACAAAGTCATCCTCATTAAATTGCTGGTATAACTCTTCATGGTTTTTAGCTTTTAACAAATCTTCTAGCGACATTAGATTGCGAACACACAATATATTAATTACTTGCTAAAGTTCTCTGGCATCATTTGGATCTATAGACAAACATTCATTTACAGCTTCATTGTTATCAACAAAAGTAAAAGGACTGATAGATGTTCCATCATTATCACGTGAAGATATAATTCTTGTATGAAGCCAACAATTTTTGATTGTTTTCATCAGAAAATTTTTTAAAAAGATATAAATTGATATATAGCAATAAATCGATATATATCGATTAAAAAATATCGATATATATCGATTAATTTGTTATATACCGATATAAATCATTGTTCGATAAATATCGAACTATGATACATTTCGTTATATATCAGATGATCGATTATCATCGATCAG